TTGTCCCTACTATGCTTCCATTTTTTTCAAAAGAATAATGTGTGTTCGTACCACCAACCATTTATTAAACAAAGATAATACCAAAATTATTATAATGAGATAAGTTGTTTGGATTTGGTTGATAAGAAGTTGCGTAGTTGCATCCGTATGTTAATAACAGTAATAATTCACAGACAAAATGTAAGAGTGATGATACTTGTTGTAGAAAAAGAAAAAAACTGTGTAGAATCTATATTGGACTTCATCATGCAACGTTGTTCAAAAAAAAAAAAAGGACTTCATCATGCAACATGATGACAAATAACAAAACGGAAATGCAAAAAAGAGAAAGAAAAAAAAGAGAAAGAAAGAAGAAAACAAAATTGAGAAATGATTTAGAAAGGGAAGTAAAGTGAAAGAGACAAAGAGAGACAAGGCAAGGTGAGATGTCAGTGTCCCTTAATGAATGATACTCTCTACCAATGTAAGTGAGCTTCAATGCTTATTGAGCCCACTTCACAGCTCATCTTTAGATTCTTTACTTATCTATGTTTCTTAAATTACCTTTGTGTAAGTGAATTCTCCACTTCGGTTAAGCACACTGCTCATATAACGGTGAGATGTCAATGTTTTTTTGTTTTGTACTCAAGAGTAGAAGTTTTTTCTTGTTTCCAACAGACGAATTTATAACTTTATGTCAGCATAAAAATTCCAGTTAATAGATGACGTAACTACATTCTAAGAAAACCCTTTAACAAAAAAAGAGACTTAACAATATATTTGTGTGTGTTTTGTATCTTAATTCATATTAATTAGTTAAAGAAAATATAATCAGATTTCAACTAGTATCCGAAGAAGAGAATTTTCCGCAGGAAAGGTGATATGTAGTCATCTCATGTGCTGAATCTTACTACATCTGATGCGTATGCACGTAAAGTAAGTAAAGGAAACAGCACAACCTGAAACTTTTAAAAGAGAATTCTAAAAAGTTAAAGAATTTAAGAGCCATGTGAATCTACAGTTACCTACACGAGCATCCAACAGTTCACTAAACAGAAGAGCACACACGCTTTAAAGATAGAGACATGTTCCTTACAAGAACATAGAATCTGTTTACCCAAATCTGGGAACTATTTAAATGCATCTTACCGCCAGAAGATGGCAGCATTTTCACTGTAAAGCTAGCCAGAGGTTACTAAATAGCTTTACACTAGAGGCTGAATCACCATTTCCTGATTTAGTAACTTTTTATAATACTATAAAATTTCATCATTATCTGACTCATTATATTATGTAAAAGCAGAATTCACCCTATACTAATTCACACCTTCAAACACCAAAAAATTGAGTGTTTGTGGGCACAAACACTTTCTCATTTTGTCTCCCAAGCTGAACTTCCTTGGTCTGAGGTTTCTTCATAGTAGTAAGGAGTTAACTTTCCGGATCTTGTCTTGCTCAGGCTCTCGTCATCTCCACCGCCAATCTCTTGCAACATCTTAACCACACGTCTCATCGATGGTCGGTTTATAGGCAATGGACTAGTGCATAGAAGCCCAACGTTAATGATCTTGCTTATCTCTTCTTTATAACATAAGTCGAGTTTAGGATCTATCACATGCTCTACTCCTTTCTGGTCCAACGTCGAGCAAACCCACTTCACCAAATCCTTCTCTCCCAGCTCCGGATCAACCGGACGTTTCCTAGTCACTATCTCAAGGATCACCACCCCAAAACTATAGATGTCGCTCTTCTCGTTCACACGAAGCGTATATGCATATTCTGCAAATAGTTTCCATTAAACATGTAATAATACTAAGTACTAATCAACCGATCATTAAGACTAACCTGGTGCAATATAACCGCATGAGCCAGCGATCACTGACATCGACTTAGGGGCCTTCCCGGTCAAGTCAACGACTTTAGCCACTCCAAAATCAGCAACCTTCGCACCGTAATCTCCATCGATCAAAATATTATTGGACTTAACATCTCTATGCACAATCGCAGGAACACAATCATGGTGAAGATAAGAAAGCCCCTCAGCTGCATCTAATATAATCTTAAACCTTGTTTCCCATCCCAACGTTCCTCCTTTGCTGCTATGTAGCAAATCTCCCAAGCTACCGTTAGGCATGTACTCATAAACCAAGAGCTTACAATCTCTAGTGGTGCAGCAACACCACAGCTTCACAATGTTCTTGTGCCTTATCTTACCTAATGTCTCGACCTCAGCTTCAAAGGCCTCGTCTTGAACTCCAGGTCTCTCGCCTTTCTCTGGATCATCGGTGTCTTCTATTTCTTTAACCGAGCCTGTCCATAACCGTTTCACCGCGACGGTTTCTCCATTGGTGAGTACAACTTTGTAGACTTTACCAGAAGCTCCAGCTCCAACCACATTCTCTTCATCTAAGCTTTCGAGAATCTCGTTCTCACTGAACCCGAGTTTGTGGAACGACATTAACGTCCACTTAGATCTCTCCACGGCTCTTGCTTTCTTGAAAATCATGTACTTGAAGTAAAACCAAGAAAGTCCCGCAACAAACACTATAACAGCTAGTACGAAGATAGACCTTAGAAGCCATGCATAGCCTTTGCTCTTAGCTTCATCCTCTGACCCACACAAGCCCTTAATATCCCCACACAGTCCCGGGTTCCCAAGAAAGCTGTTCTTATACATCTCCTTCTCTAAAGAACCCGGTATCTCACCGGTTAACCGGTTATTCGATAAATTCAGCTGGTTTAGCTTTAACCCCTGCAACGAAACCGGAATCTCCCCAGAGAATAAATTACCAGAAAGATCAAGATAATTCAAAACAGACAAACTCCCAATCTCCTCCGGAATCTTGCCGGAAAATTCGTTGTCGGCTAAGTTCAACTCGTTAAGCTTCTTCAACGACTTAATCTTAGAAGACAACTCTCCACTAAACCGGTTCCCGTGAAGATCAAGAGTCCCTAACTCAACAAGACTCATCAAACCATCAGGCAACGAACCATTAAACTTGTTCCCACTCGCCGACAACTCATTAAGCTTGTCCAAAGACCCAATCTCCTCCGGCAAAGCTCCTGTAAACTCATTATTCGTCAGAACCAACATCGAGAGATTCAACGCGCCTCCAATAGTCCTCGAGACCTCCCCGGAGAACGAGTTGTTTATCATCTCAAGCAACGAAACGTGCGGCAAACCCCAGAAACCAACCGGAATTAAACCGGAAAACCGGTTATACGCTAACCGGACACGCGTCAAGCTCCTACAATCTCCCAAACTCTCAGGTAAACCACCCGAGAACGAGTTCCGTAACACCAGCAGCTCCTCAAGCTTCCCTCTAGCGCACAAACCCGCCGGTAACTCCCCGGAGAAGCCGTTTTCCGACACGTCAATCAATCTCAACGGCGAGTTAACGCCGAGGTCTCTCGGTAACTCCCCGGAGAAACGGTTTCCGAATATCTTGAGCTCGTTCAAGTTGGGAGACAACGCTACGCTCCCCGGAAGCTCCCCCTCGAGATCGTTCTCGTAGAGATTCAAACTCTCCAACGGTAAAAGGCAGAGCTCGTCCGGTACAGTCCCGGTTAACTTATTATCCGCCGCGTCGAAAAACCGTAAAGATTTTAAATTCCCGAGCTCGACCGGTATAGCTCCGGTTAACGAGTTGTTATAAAGCTCGATCTGCACCACGTTTGTTAAACCACCGAGGGAGTTAGGGATGGGGCCCACGAGGTTGTTGAAGGAAAGGTCTAGATCGACGAGTTTACTGAGCCGACCCAGCGAGTCGGGAATCTCCCCGATTAAATTACATTCCGTGAGCCACAAGACTTGGAGATTCGTTAGGTTCCCGAGCTCCGGAGGGATCCGACCCGGAGTAAACGGGTTGTAGGATAGGTTCAGCGTCTTGAGGGAGGAGATGTTACCTAGAAACGGAGGGATGGTACCGTCGAGGAGGTTGCTGATGAGAGAGAGAGTCTCGAGTTTTTGGAATTTTCCGAAGGTTTCCGGAATGTCGCCGGAGAAGTTGTTTCCGGAGAGGTCGAGGGAGGTTAGGAGGGGGAGGTCGGGGAGCGTGTGGGGGATGACGCCGGTGAGGAGGCACTGAGAGAGGTCTAGGGTTTTGAGGCTTTTGCAGGCGGTTATGTTTAGAGGGGAGGTGATTGAGGTGTTGGAGAAGGAGAGGTGTGTGAGGTTGGTGAGGTGGCAGATGAGGGAAGGGAAAGGGCCTGCGAGGTTGGAGTTGGAGAGGTTGATGGAAGTTACGGAGGAGGAGGAGGGGGAGCAGGAGACGCCGGTCCATTGACATGGTGAAGGGTCTTGGGGGTTCCAGGTGGAGAGGGAGGAGTCTGGGTCTTGGAGAGAGTGTTTGACTTGTTGGAGGATGAGGCCTTCTTGGTTTAGGGAGAAGACGGTGGGGAGAAGGAGGAGGAGGAAGAGGAGATGCATCTTTAACCGGCGATGAGAGAGAGAGAGAGAGAGAGAAAGAAGAGTGTGTTTGAAGGATGAGAGAAGTTGAGAATAATTAAGAAGAGAGTCTTGTCTGAAAAGAGTTGACTGGGGAGACAAGTGAGTTATCGTGTGTCTGTCTGACTGTGAAACTATAGTATCAGTGAGTTAGCTTTTAATTTGATTGCAGATAAATATTAATATCTATGTCTAGTTTTCAACGTAGATGGTAATTATTGTTTGTTTATTATGTGTGTTTAAGATTTGTTACTGATCATAAAAGAGAATGTTACAGATGATAATTGATCTAATAGTCTATGAGAACATTCATCATTTGTTTAGTATAGTGGTTTATGAATATGTTTTTTTTGTTTGTTTCAAAAATAAAAACATTCATCATTTGTACTATATTTTCCAGGTTATTTAGTTTGTTATGCAAGAAACGACAGATTTCCTCAAACTAAACTGGATATTAACTTACAGACGTTTTATAAATACTTCTATCTTTCTAAATTGGGCTATTATGAAATAGTATGTTAAGAAATTTGTTATTGTTGCAAGGGGGAAATAGCAGGAATTGTACAAATAGTATGGTTTTCCGGATTAAAAAGAAAACAACCCTAGAATGTTAACGAAATGGCTGGGGTAATGGCATTTGAAAACAATTTGATATAGGCTAACAGGGTTCCAGTTTTCGTGTCATGTAATACCTATATATATATATATATATATTTTTTAAGGAATACCTATATTTTGCACTTATTGTACGTGTGCTAAAAAATAGTTGTCAATAAAAGTTAAAAACTTCTACAATGGATAGTGAATGTTTAATTTTATATACATACTTTGTACTATGCAATTTCTTATGACATAAATCAATAACAATTCAATAAATTCAATTATTTTCACAAATTTACCATTTATTATCATTAGCTTATAAAACAATGAAAAACTTTTTTTTAGACAAAAAAAAAGTCTATTTGTTTAGAAATAGAAGATACATAATTTTGTGGTAGTTTGGAACCTTTTGTGTAAGGAATATTCACTGAATGTACATGTGTTGCAAACAAAAACCTTACAACTATGAATTCTAAGAACAATACTTAAACTAAAATTCATCCAACACATGTTTTAAATTTCTAGGTTTTCCTCAATTTTAAAAACGACCAATCATTGCTAGGTATTTAATATACCTACTCATTTAAATTTTTGCAGTAAAATTTAGAGTGAATTGGGTAGAAAACCTACAAAAATGTGGAAATTAGCAAAATACCAAAGAGATAAAAATAGTGGGGTTTAATTTTTCTCTGTACCAGATCAATTTATCTTAATGTCCCTAAACTCTTTGGATGCCCAGTAATGACGTATGTTTATTGCTTAGATTTTTTTTTGTCTCTCCTTTTGTAGATAGTAAACAGTAAAAACAACTTGTAGGAAGTATCGACAGCCGTTAGATGGTCTGACAGAAGCGGATGTCAAAAGATTGTTTACTGTTTTCTTGTTTACGAAGTTGTCGATTGTTTACTAAATGTGTATTTTCTTAGGCCTTCCATAAAACTAAAATTTGTTTTTTTTTTCTCAGGAGAGATCGTTCATTGTGTCCTATCACCATATGATAGCAGTAGTGGTTAATAACAAATGTAGACATCTAATTTGATATTTACATTGCTAAAAGAATATTTACATGTCTACATGAAAGTATGTAGCTGGCTAAAACTATTACCAAATAATGTCGATAACAGGATAAATATTTCAAAGCTCAGCTAAAATTAATATTAGCTATCAATAAGAGGTTAATTCAAGCATACATATAACTATATGAACACATTGTTAAATGCTAACATAATTCACTCATGTTATTAAATATTTTAACATTTTTTAATGAATCTTAACATAAATCAAACGTACGGATAAGATTATAGCTGGCTAATATTTTTTATTCAATCAAAATAAATATGTAGGAAATCTTTATGATTATGGTTATATATATTCTTAACAAGTTAAGTTGATATCAAACCAAATCTAAGATCTTCATCGCTCTCTCCTGTTAATTCATATTTTTTCTCCTCCTTAGCAAGAGCAGTGGCGGCAGCTCCTCCAACAAAAGCAGATGCAGCAACAAGCACAACACCTCCGCTGCCACCAGCAATCTTGGTGAATACCATTGGCCAATATGACTTCTCGACGCCAACGGATTCGACCAAAGTCGCAGTCTTGTCGCAGTATTGACGATAGGGTCAAGGAAATAAATATAAGCAAATTAAAAGATTATCAGTTCAACAAAAATCTGTGAAATAGGATACCCACTCAGAAAGAGAATGATAGTGGAAATTAGGATTGAAGAAAGTTCAATTCAAAAAAAAAAAATAGTGTGAATGAAGGATGAATGCTAAACGTGAACGAGGTTTTTGAATTTTGAAAGAAATTTAGTTTATGATAGAGAGAGATATGAAATTACTAAAGGAGATTATGTGTCTGACACAATTTGTTTGTAAGATAATACTAATACAAATCTAGGTTCGAATGATAGAAAAAACAAAAACAAAAACTGATAAATTAGTATAGGGGTAAAATAGTCCAAATTATTTCGATAGTATCCAAAAAATATGTAAATGGGTATTAAACTAAATTGGGTAAAGTTTTAATGCGTAGAATGCAAATACTTTAAAATTTATTATAGAACTTAAATAGCTCAGTTTTCCGAACAAAGAGATCCAAGATAATAAATGTGTCATATGAGATTTGTCTTTGTATGTATGGTACGTACATATAGTCTTAATGAGTACGATTCATTGTTAATTGATTTAAGAACAAGGAAACATGAAATAAGTTCATCCACGACGAAATATATAAAGAGAACAAAAAGAAGATGAGATCAGATGGTTGATAAGCCAACAGTTAAAACTATATGTGGAAAATGTGGAATAGTATATTGTTTGTGTAATTATTAAAACACTGCATGTCAATCTCAATACGTAGTCCAAATTGTCTTTTTCCTTTGTCGCATCTCCAATTTTTGTTTTATCCCAAACCTAACTTTAAAAGTTATATTTCTAACGAAGGTCCTACATTTTATCCCACGTCCAAAGAAAATTGATGCTTAACCACCACCCCGTAACACGATGGTTTTAACTTTTAACCAACATTTATAATGGATTATCTAACCTCCTATTTATACATATAATCACATTATGTAAATTTGTCTTTATATATCATAATTTGAAAATTTTATAGTGGTATTATTTGTTTCTAACCAAAACAATATAGTGTTTTGTTTTACCTTACTCTCAATAAACAAGAAGATAAAACCCGATAACGAAAAAACGTAGTTTTATCAAATGTGTAGATTGTTTATATACACAACCTTTTGTTTGTTGATTTATACACATGAATCACATGATTTATGAAAACATAATATTATGATAAATATACAATGAAATGACGCATTTTTCACTGTTTATTTTTAGTGTATTGAATGAAAGCACATTAATACATCCATGATTATCTTTATCTTTTCCATTTAATATTAGTACCAAACGAAAACTTTACTCTACTGTGTTTATTTAGAAAGGTGTTTTTTCTTTCTTCACCTTTTTTTTTTGCTTTTGGTGAATCTTCGAATAAGCTTTTGTGGTTGTACCCAAACTTTTCCAAAGTATCCACTGGCAATAAGATCTGCGGGACCTGTCAAATATTATTAAGTGGCACTTTACAAAACTTTGATGGAACATAAACCATACACCTTCTAATCATATACATCTTGAAGACTTACATCTAATCTTGTATCACCTCGTCAGTCCATATTCAAGTTGTTTGTTGGTAGGGAAACACCAACTCTATTAGTATTCGTATTTTTTATTGCAATATATTTTAGTCTAGATGATCATTCTAGCCCGTAGCTAAACAACTTCTCGAATAATTTTCCTGCCTCATTAATCGCAAAGGATTTGTTGAAATCTTTCTCTTCTCTAGCCTATAGCTAAGAACACATGATTTAGTCCCCCGGTGTTCATCTCACTTCTCAAACTTGAAGTAAAAAAACTATATCTCACAAGGACTGGTCGAACATCAGGATTCATCAGCTTCAACAAAAGAAACTTAGCCGTGGTGGATTACAATCGTTTCCTTCTCTCTCTCTATTCTCTGCTGTTTCAGCTTTCAGCTCAAGAGGATAATAAGATCATAAAATAAAGCTAGCTATACTGTTTTATACTCAACGTTCATCAGCCATTGATATGCCTAGTACACACACATGCAACTAGAGAGATGGTTATTACTCGGATTCTGAACCTGAACCGATTTAACCGATAAAACTAACTATGAAAACTTGTCCATAGCTTCAGTATTCCTATATAAATTCACATATATGTAGGAAAAAAAGAGAGGACTCCTTGATCTTAAATCTGGTCTAATCGTTGATCTTAATTAATATCAACTATACATTTTAAATTACAATTGAAGAATGCCCGCAAGATATTGAGATAGAGTGAATGAACCACTTGTGATTTCTCGTGATCTATATTAGTGTTTATCAGATGCTGGGTCCAATATTTAAATTGTACAAACAACAGTAGTTTGTGGGTTCTACGTGGGTAAAATATGTTATTTTTCTAGGTTAGAAACAGAATACGAAATATGAAGAGCCGAAAATAAGAAACGCGTCTAACGCAGGAAGAAAAGTCAGCAGTTAATTTTTTTCAATTTATTTGGCCCAAGTTTTGGTGATTGCAATCATAATTATTCCCTTAAGCTTCTTTTCTTTTGTAACCATGATGATTCCCTTAAGCTTAATCATTCACTTTAAGTAATCTTTAAGAATATATTGAGTTTGATTTCACATCCCACCTTCTCCCACTTTCCTATTCTCCTTTTGGTTGGCTGAGTAAATAAATATCAATAAGAAAGAAGAAAGCCTTATAGCAACTATTTTTCTATGTTCAATGTACATTTCAAGTTCTATATTAGTTCAATCTTTTCTTTTCCTTGGATGCATGTCATATGCTTGCATGTATGTATATGTGTCTTGTGCAATTAGCAAATGTTTATCTTATTGGATATAACATTTAGTAGCGATTGGGAGGATTTGGAATCGATTCAGACAGACGTTTCATCCTACAAAATATTTATTTGTATATATATGTAGATTTGGACAAAATGTATCAGATGTAACAGTTGATTGGTGATGGAAGTATAAGTGGTATGGCAAAAAGTTTGTTGGTTTGTAACATTAGGAAAAACAAGCACTGCCATAAGAGATTGGAAGATATTGTGGTTTGATACTGATTGTCCTTTTTTATATTTTGAATATATATATATATGTATTTAATATAGTGACTCAATATGTTCAATTCATGAACAGCTCTCAAATTACATTATAAGACATCTTTCTTCTTATATTAGACGTTGAGTGATTGTAGAAATATTGGCAGCATATCAAAACTAGTGTACGGAATGTTCAAATGTAAAATTCTGTTTTGTATTGAAGATTAAAGAATTGAAAAGTTTTTAATTTTCTTCCATTGAAACAGTAAAATTATATCGAAAAAGACGGGCACATTAAAATAAAGGAGTAGATCACCAAGTAACCAAAGGTGGTCTGGTCTAACTTGGAGGCGTGGACCATCTATGAAAGTTGTAAACTTTACTTAAGAATAACTAATATACAAATACAAAACTAATATAAATTGTAATCTTTTTAAAATAATTTCAAGAAAAGGTTCTTAACACAACGAAGCAGAAGATATACATGCGTTTTCAAAAAGAATAACTATGATTTGAAGAAAAAACACGCAAACTCTTTTTCAAGTTCTATCTACAAAATGTCTTTTTGGCATATTTATTAGTATCTTTTTGACATTTTTTTTTACATTTAATGCTGAGATTCTACCTGAATCACTAGGACGAGTGATACTCAGATGCAATAAAGAAGAGAAATTACAGTTAAACCCTCTAAAAAGCATTTGGTTGAGATTTTTTTTTTTTAACACATCATTTGGTTGAGAATTAGGTCTGGGCGTTCGGTGGCGCATTCGGTTTCGGTTCGGGTTATTTGGATTTTCGGTGTTATGTTCACAAGTACCATTCGGTTTTTACTAATTATCGGTTCGGATTCGGTTCGGTTCCTTCCAGATTCGGTTCGGATCTAACCAATGTTTAAAATCGTCCAAAAATATATTTTTTAAACCTTGAAAATTGACAAAAAAAATTTTCAGAATATGTAAATTAATTACAAATCTAATTAAAAATTAGTTAAGCTATCTAAATTAACTAAAAAGTATTCAAAATAACAAATAAAACAAACTAGAAAAATATTTTGAATACACTAAAATATCTAAATCACCTTAACATATATAAAAATATTAACATATTTAACTAATTTCGGATATCTTCGGATCCTAATTCGGATTTCGGTTCGGTAACCATAGTCCAAAGTACTAAGCTCACAAGTTCCGTTCGGATATTTTTGTAAAACAATTCGGATTCGGTTTCGATTTTTTCGGTTCGGATTAAGGTCGATATTTCGGGTTGAGTTAAAAATGCCAGCCCTATTGAGAATATTTCTTGTTCCTATAGAACGAAAGGGAGATCATTAAGCCTTGGAGTTTGACACAAAAATCATAACTTATACTCAACAAAACAATGAAGTTATTATGTTTACGATAACAAAGGCATTTGCTAATATATATATGCCTTGGCTACTTGATTTCACCAAACCAATCAGAAATATTCTTATATTGATGGTGAGAACTATTCTGATACTAATCACTTTCTTTTCTCCCTAGAAAACATGTCTTCAAGAATGTAATCTTCTTCCCTCTCCACATGCTACACCTCAATTCATGAATCACTGCTGCTGTAATCCTCTGATCCACTATCGTAATTATTTGCTGCTGCATTGTTAGCAGGTACATCATGATTATCATCTTCAGAGCTCTCACTCATTTCTGCAACATCTTCTCTTCCAACCCGCTCAACCCCAACAACTTCTTCCTCATCAGCCTCCATTGCTTCATTTGTGTTACTATTCCAATCTAGTCCCCACTTGTTTCTTTGATTGTAAACCACAAACTGACCCTCATCATCATCATCATCCTCTGATTCATCATCCACCTGCATAGGCGTCATCTCTCTAGGAGTTTCACTAGCCCAATCTTTATTAATGTCTCTGAATGTTTGCTCTTCTTCTTCCTCCTCTTCAACTTCTTCGCTGTTAGGCCTAACAATGTCAGCCATTCTGCTGACTAAGCGATAACTGTCCTCATCGTTCCTCTCTGGTCTTTTTCTAACCGTCCTCTTTCCTCTTCCAGGGACTTGATGATGGTTCATCTCAACGTCAACGCTCACTAAGTTCCTATCAACTGCAACATTGCTCCTACCAGCGACAAATATGTTTGAACTCCCTTGCACTTTCTTCCTCTTCACCTTTCTGTTTGATACAGGACCAAATCTGACTCGTCGTTTCTTACTTTTTTTACCCGAGTTTGGAACAGCCTCGTCTTGGTCTTTGGCTCCTTTGCTTTTGATAAGAGAGTTTCCAGGGTATAAGCTCTGCATATAAATAACTTTCAAATGAGTAACAATTTAATAGAATAAAAAAAGGTGGTATATAAAACTTACAATCTGCTCCTTCTCATCTTCTGGGGTTATCTCAGGTTTCTCTGGCTTCACGTAAATAATGGATGCATCAAGGTCTGAGAGTCGCAAAGCAACCGCTGATACTGTCTTTGGTATCCATGGAAAAACGTCCACTGATCCTGAATCATCAGCATCAGCAGCTCCCAAGAGCTCCTTTGCTGATACAAAATTGGATGACAGAGATTCTTTCTTGATTGCACTCTCTAAGGAAGTCAAGACCTGTCAAAAAAAATAGGAAGATAGCTGAGTTTTAAAACAAACAACTAAACCAGTATTCAATTTAGGGAAAGTAAAAAAGGATATTAGTTACCTGTAAAATCTCTTCAGATGATGATGAAGCATTCAATCTAAACCCCCAATTTTTTCTTTTATCCTCTGTCCAGAATGATTCAAGAGCTTCATCTGGAACAGATGCCTGTCAATAAATGAAGTTGTCAAAGTTGGTCCCAAAGAAATGACTTTAAAAGAAAAGTTGAGAGTTAAATAAAGCTTTACCTCAAGAAAAACAAGTAATGCTTTGAGCAATCTGACTCCAAAAGGAAGAGGAGATGCAGTCAAACCTGAACTTAATATCTTTCTCTCTGAACTATCAACCATGTCTAATCTTTGGTGACAAGAAGTGCAGTGTGTATACTCAGATAGATAAGAAGCAACACACACTTCACATGTCGCTAACAGTTCACATCTTTTCTTCCCATGTTTCCTAGCACAAGAAGGTAATGAGCTGTACGTCCCAGTCCACATCCATCTCTGAAAATCATGGAACCGTTTTGATAAACTCTCATTCTCCCTGTCGTTTCTCCCTAGCTCAACTCTGATAGAAGTTGAAGTTTCCATCGAATCAGAATTAGACCCCAAAACAGCACTAGATGGGCTCACAGAATCTCCAGGAGAATGATTCACAACACTCTTACAAGCATTCTCTTTAAATGATCCTTCAATCTTTTGCAACATTATGCGTAAATGAGATTCTCTGATCCCACGCATATCCAGTGACGCAACCAGAGTGTCAAAAGCCTCTTCTGAATCAATGAGGCGCCACTTGCCATCATGGAGCTCAACAAATATAAGCCCCGAGCAAGGATCAGTTTTAGATGCTGATGCAGCAAAATGCCAGTAACGGTTGTGTCGCCGATCTTGTCCAAGGGGCAAAGATCTGTAGGGATACACTTCTTCTGCTTTGTCGCCTATATATGATTTTAACTGTGAGCGTGATCTCTTTGAAAAACAATTATCTTGAGCGGCCTCTTGGTTTGATTCAATCATAAGTTGAGAAGGGTCTCTGTCAAGCTTAAGTACATCTCTCATGCAGCTGTTATCTAACTGTGCTTCAGCCCACATTTGCTTTTTAAGAGAATTTGCTGCTTCCATACGATCCTCAAGACTAGCTCTGAGGGAGTTTCCTTCATTGACAATGCCGATCAAAGCAACAAGGGCCTCAAGGCGCTCTTCAACACTTAGATGACAATAATCCCCTTCTGTAAGACCTTGAATCCATGATTGGCCCTGGTTGCTATCTTCAACCACATCATCATTATTATTATTATTATCCACCTCATTCTTTACGTCTGCTTTAACATCACAGGACATAGCATCTTCCTCTCCCTTTCCAGACAAACCATTCACTACACCAAGATCAGTACCTTTAGAGGCACTTGCCAGAGTGGCTAAATCATCAACCTCAGGATCCTCATCAACATCACATTCAAAGTCTTCATCCTTTTCAAGATCATTCAAATCTTCTGGACCGATAAATCCATTTTCGAATGCCTTTATCTTCTTCCTAGCATCTGTGAGTATTGCCTCTCCATCCGCAGGATCCTTCACATAAGGAGCTCGTACACAATAAGTACAAGGGGCTATTCTTTCGAAGAGCTTCGCATCTCTTGTCAATGCAACAGAGATAGAAGCCTCTGGTGTCTTGCTTGTGCTCAGGTCCCGAAGTCCAGATTTCTTCAAAAGAAAACCACAAAAAAATAAGTAAATCAAATATTTTCAATTACAGTAACATATATAGATTATAAATGTACCTGAATCTTGTCGGCAAGTTCTAACAGTGTCAGACCCTTGCTTCCCTCAAGAGACAGAACATGCAAGGCTGCAAATTTGACAGTTCCAGGTGTCAACCGATGCCTCGACTTGCGTGGAGCCAGTAACCCTTTCTCCAGCATTGATGCAAAAGCAGTTTCAGCAGCTGAACCACTGCGAATAGTAGAAATGATATCTTCACAACCTTTAGCCTGAACACACAAGTAAACCAAATTAATGTCTAAGAAAAATAAAAACCTCTCACAGTACTTTTTTCATATATATATATATACACACATCCCAAGCAATCGTCAAGGTTTAGAGGGCACACAAAGGGAATAATACCTCATCCTTCTGAGCAGTTTGTGTCACAGGGGAATTTTTATTCTTCAGCTTAGGCCCAAATCCACTGGAGAGTGCCAATTGGCGCAGTATCTCAGGCCATGTTAGTGGGGTCAAATGCTTTTTCCAACTACGAATGTCAAAGCCCCATGCATAAGCCTGAAGAAGAAAGGATGTATTAGGAAAGATGGAGCCAACTTAAAAAAGAGAAAAGGACATTAGCATACAGAGGTAGAGAAAGTTACCCCTTCAACTATCTGGGGGTGACCACCCTCAGGATTGGCTGTAGTATATTGGTTATTTCCAATTCCACTATAAGGTGTTCTAGCAACATCTTCAATATCTCGTATTATTGATCTCAGAAGTGTAATATGTATCTCCCCCAGTAATCTTGAGTCCTACAATAAGGATATATAATACATATAAAATATATATCAACTATAGAGCAAGAACAATGGAATGAAATAAACAACTTTAGAAAACAAAGAAATTTCAGATTGAGTACTAAAGAGATACTTACATAGTCATGAAAAGCCTGAATAAACTCATTCAGGGTAAAAGGCCAAAGGTTTAGAACATCAGAAAATGATATTAGGAATCTCCAAACCTGAAAAGCAACCACAATATGAGAACTTTAACGTGCAAAAGAGCGCATAAAATGTGTAGTACTAAATTCAAGTACGAGTAAGCATACGCAGAGAGTAAAGATCTATCAAGCATACCATTAGAAGGCTTCTAACATTTTCCTCAGAATCCTTCCATGGAGAAATGCTAAACGGCATTTTCAGTTTCAAAGCCTTTGGTGGAAATGTGCTCAGAGAATCTGAAAAAGTAGAATAGCTATGATAAGCTGCAAGATCTAGAACGAACTTATTAGGGTTGCTAAATCAAGTTCACAGGCTTGGAAAAGAGATCATACCTCTATACAGTTCAAGGTTTTGCAACGTATCATGATCAAGCTGTAACACCGAGGACAATCCTTTGCTAGTAGCAGCCAAATCCATCAGCTCTAGCTGCTCATCTTCAATTAGATCCATAGACTCTCTAGCAATTCTACGTGCAGTTGCCTTCTCAATGGCAATCTTGCGTCTTATAGCATCTCTCTCCCGGCGAATCTCATCTTTTTGCTTCTGTTTCTCCGCCTTTTAACATTCCAAAAAGATAAGTCTAATTTTTCATACTCTTGCTACAAAAGTGTACAGTTATTTCCAGAACTTACACGTTCGTTTTCTCTCTGTAGAAACTTTTCTCGTCTTTCCATTTCACGTCGCTGTTCGCGCTGTAACTTTTCCTCTTCCCTTATTCTTTCACGCATCAACCTCTCTTCTTCTTTACGCCTCTCACGCTCATGCCTTTCCATCTCCTTTTTCATGCGTTCTTCATACTGAGAACACAAACTCTCAAACTCAGCAACATGTGCTACACAGGATACCAATAAAAGACAATAAGACCTTTCTAATAACGCAATATACCTTTTTCCTCTGAATTTCTAGCTTCTCAGGATCTTTTTGTCCACTCCCTCTACCGACTCTACCATCGTTTATCTGTGAATGTAAACAATAAATAATAACATTACAATAAAACACACACATATCTTCTCAAAAAGGGACGAAATAAAAGTTGTCCAGCTACCTTTAAGCTATCACCATGAGCTGATGGGACAATGGGGCTAGGCATGTCTTGTTGAGATGTAGAACCGTTGAAAGATGTATATCCATGTGTACCATAAGACCTTGGTAGAGGCCCATTCCCATGCATATATGATGGACTCTTAGATCGTGAAGTTTCATAGTCCATGCCACGTGCTTGACTTTCAGAGTACCGCCCAGACATCTTTGGTGTGTAGGAAGACGGATCATCCAGTGATTGTTGCTCATTGAAAGAACGAGGAGCAGACTATAATCAACAAAAGCAGACAAGTTCAACAAGGAGTAAAAATAAATACAAAAATATGAACGCACAGGATAAAAGAGGATACAAATAACAAGTAATATTCATGTAACATTGATCAGAGAATAATAACTTTATGAGACTAATAGGTCACTCTTTATGCAACGAGAACTCTTAAAAAGCTCCTACGTAAACATCACACAAGAAAAAGGAAATTGAATAGTGCCAATAGGTATAGTAAGAAAACTAACTCTTCGATGTCGGACATCATGTGACTCATACATTTTGCTCTCATATGGATGACCTTGGTGCTCCTGCATTCCTACAATAGTTTGTCCACCACAAAAAGAAGTTAAGAGAATAAAATAAGCAGAGACTGACATGAGAACAATTTAAGTAAAGAGAGACCAATACTATCGCAAAGAGAAAGGAATAGCTTCATACTTTCAAGATAAACTGTCCACAAACAATACTGACACTGACATTATGATTGGCAAATAGAGAGTAATGGTACCTATAGGTGTTCCAAAAGCACCAGGAGGCAATGCATCAAACTCCATGCCAAGTACCGGTCCATCGTCTCTCAATGGCTCTCCTAACTGACCCTCAATACAAGCAATGGCTCTACGAACCATCACAGACAACCGTGGTGGCTCGTACACACCTTTCCCCATTGTCTCATATTCATCCAATTCATCTCCAGAGCTACCACTACCACTCTCAAAGTTCCTCTTTGACTCCAAATAAGGGCTGCAGCCTGAGCCAGAACCCGAACCAGATCCAGCAGCCGGTAGCTCATTAACCGAAGACAAAGCAGGAGCAGCCGGTTGAACCGGTTTCTTGACCTGGCCATCCTTCTTGTCCTTTAACCTCCTGTGGCAAAACCACATCTGTAACTGTCTATCAGACAAATCCAACTTCTCAGACAACTCAGCCCTCGTCGCCTCTGATGGATATTTTTCCTCTGTTTGACACAAAATCAAATTCAAATTCAACAACAAAGGAACAAACAATTCAACATGAATGAAGAAGAATCAAAACCAAACCTGCATAAACTTTCTCCAGAGTTTGGAGTTGAAAGGGAGTTTTCATCTGACGCTTCTTGTTATTCAAAGTATCAATCTTTTTCTTCTTATTCTCGTTACCATTAACGTTCTTGATCTGATCTTCTTCATCAGAACCCATCTCCATGAAAAAAGATTGAACAAACAGAGAGAGACAGACCCAGAAACAAACGGCCGCAAGAACAATGAGAGAGGATACAACAACACAAACAAAAAAACGAAAATTAGGGCTTTCCACAAAACATATTAACCCTTTTCTCCCCCTTTAGATTACTAACTTATATTAACCCACAAATTATTGTGGGAAAAAACGTAAAAAAGATAAAAGAAGAATAATATATGAGAATGAACAATAATAATAGTAAAATCGATAAAGGGAAAACAACAAGGCTCTCGATTGCAACCTCCTTCATATCTTTTTTTCACTTGTTCTAATTTAAATCTTTGTTTCTTATATTTTAAAAAAAAATTAAAGGAAAAAAAAAAGGTCGAAACTTGAGGGATGATTCTACAGCGAATCGCGTGCCTATGTGTTTATGAAGCGATGCAATCTTTCCCTCACACTTTCCGTCTTTTTTCTTTAATAGTAATATTTTGGTTTAATTTAAATTTTAGTTTATCAAAAACTAACGATTAGTACAAGATACTCTCTCTTCAAGGCTTTTGGTCTTGTTTTTTTGTTTGTCTTTCAGATCCGCACGCAGGTTGCAAGACTTTTTTTTCTCATGTTTCTTTGTCGACCACGTGCGTACGAAATAGACATCTTGCCGTTTGTAGTCTTCAAGTACACAATCCCTGTCGTCTTTAAAAGTATAATTCAGTCACAAACCGGTTCAACATACACTTCCTAAACCCGGTTCTTTATGTTTGAGAAAAAAATATATATAAAGGCAAAATTAAAATTATAAGTATAAATATTTAAATTATTAATAAAAATTAATTAAATATAAAATCTTAATAACAGTAATTATGTAGAGTATATCAATTTTTAATATATATTAGGTTATTTGATTTTCATTATTTTATCTTTTTATATCTAAATTATTTTTAATAAAAAAATACTTAACTGTGAAATCACGTATATATATTTATGTATGATCTCCATGTTTTAATTTGACAGGTATTTTATTTATGTAGTTTGAGAAAAAAAAATATAAAGAAGAAAAAGAATATCAAATCAACATAAAAAAGAAATAATGTAAATTAGTATAATATCCAGGTCCCATGATGTTATTTTTATATTTACAAAAAAATGTATTTGTAAAGGTGACATATATGTAACAACCTGACGACCATTTAAGTAATTATATAAATTGTTAACCATTAAATTGCATGAAAAATGAAAAATAATGAACAAATATTAATCGAGAAAATGAAAAAAGTCGGAAATATATGATTTACGTTCAGTCCATTCTTTTCATAGAAAATAGAGAAGAAACTGTTTTTATATATTTTTTTCCAATCATGAAGAAATGAGAGGAATAAACTGGGATCGATAACTTTATAATGCGACAAAAAAAATCAACTTAAATGAAACAAAATCTGAGGAATGGAAAATTCACCATCAATTTTGTTTCCAAATTATGGTCACCAGTTAAAAGCAAAAGTTTTCTATAATACTTCTAGTTACGTGTAATATCTTTGTCGGTGTATCTATAACATTATTTTAGAAGTAAATTTGCTTAGTTGTCAACTTCTCCATGATTTTAGGTAAATTTGCTTAGTTGTCAACTTCTCCATGATTTTAGGTAATTTTGCTTATTTTCATGTTTTAATAATTTATTATATAATAAAAACGAATTTATGTTAAATAATATTATATTTTTAGAAAATATGTTAATTCTTTTGTATTAGATTGTTATCTTAAAAAAATATTTTTTCAATTATTATTTTAGAAGTAAAAATTTGATTAGTTGTCAACTTTTCCATGATTTTAGGTTATTTTGCTTATTTTCATGTTTTAATAAGTTATTATAAAATAAAAATAATTTAATTTAATAATATTATATTTTTAGAAAATATGTTAATTCTTTTGTATTAGATTTTTATCTTAAAAATATATTTTTCAATTATAAAATTTAAGTGAATTTCTAATTAATTTGTAACTTTATGTGATTTAGGTAATCTATACTATTATTTGTGAATGAATTTTTGCAACAAAGCTCTCACGTTGAAATTTAAAACGGTTAATATCGTTTATATCCTTAATGAATAATTAAAATTTTTAATATAGTTAAACATATATAAAAAACGAATTTCAATTATTTTAGATTTATATTTATCTAAAACTATTTTATATTGGGTTACATAGATTTTATTAACTTTGAAAAATAATTATATTAGTTAATATACTTGAAAAATAATTATATTAGTTAATATATAATTAAAATAATTATATTAGTTAATATATAATTAATTATAAATTAAAATCGAATTTTATTTATTTGATAATTATCCTTATTTTTTTTTATGTTATGTGATAAAGTCTTTAATAACCTTGAAAAATAATTATATCTGTTAACATATAGTTAATTCTAAATTAAAAAATGAATCTCATGAATTTGATAATTATGTTTATCTAACTTTTTTATATTGTGTTATAAATTCTTTATTAACGTTGAAAAAATAATTCTATTTGTTAATATATAGTTAAATATGAAAAATCAATTTGCAAAGAATTTATGTATAGATAATTTATATAAATTATTTTCATGTTTTAATAATTTATTATATAATAAAAACGAATTTATGTTAATAATATTATATTTTTAGAAAATATGTAAATTCTTTTGTATTAGATTGTTATCTTAAAAATATATTTTTCAATTATTATTTTAGAAGTAAAAATTTGATTAGTTGTCAACTTTTCCATGATTTTAGGTTATTTTGCTGATTTCATGTTTTAATAAGTTATTATAAAATAAAATAAAAAGAATTGATGTTAATAATATTAAATTTTTAGAAAATATGTTAATTCTTTTGTATTAGATTATTATCTTAAAAATATATTTTTCAATTATAAAATTTAAGTGAATTTCTAATTAATTTGCAACTTTATGTGATTTAGGTAATCTATACTATTATTTGTGAATGAATTTTTGCAACAAAACTCTCACGTTGAAAGTTAAAACGGTTAATATCGTTTATACCCTTAATGAATAATTAAAATTTTTAATATAGTTAAACATATATAAAAAACGAATTTCAATGATTTTAGATTTATATTTATCTAAAACTATTTTATATTGGGTTACAGAGATTTTATTAACCTTGAAAAATAATTATATTAGTTAATATACTTGAAAAATAATTATATTAGTTAATATAATTAATTATAAATTAAAATCGAATTTCATTTATTTGATAATTATCCTTATTTTAATTTTTTTATATTATGTGATAAAGTCTTTATCAACCTTGAAAAATAATTATATTTGTTAACATATAATTAATTCTAAATTAAAAAATGAATCTCATGAATTTGATAATTATCTTTATCTAACTTTTTTATATTGTGTTATAAAGTCTTTATAAAGTCTCTATTTGTTAATATATAGTTAAATATGAAAAATCAATTTGCAAAGAATTTATGTATAGATAATTTATATTGTGTTATCCAAAACATTATTAAAGATAATTTTTTATACTTTTTTGTTATGTCTAAAATGATATTAATTTATTACTAAATGTTTTAAGTTTATGAGTATTTTCAAATATAAGTTGTGTAATGAAAATTATTTATATGATGATGAAAAAATTTATAAATAAAATGAATTTGTTTAGTTTATTATTAAATATTTTGAGTCTATGAACAATAATTTATTATAATTTACATAACTTGATTACATATTTATTTATAGATATTAATAAAATTATTAAGCCCGCAAATGCGGGCAAAACACCTAGTTATATATTAATTATTATATCATGCCGTACATATGTTAAAACCCTAAATAGAAACGATTCTAGTAAAAAGGGGAATATAACTAAAAGACATAAATGAAGGTTTTCAAGCAGAAAGTATTGTTGAGGAATCAGCCATGGAAGAACAAGAAGAGAAGAAAACGCGAGAGAGCCAAAGATATTAGATCACAACCAAACCATATTCCTCTTGATCCAACCTTGGAGATTCTCTCAAGACTTCCTGTGAAGGGTCCAACAAGACTTCTCTTTTCCTGAAAAACAGAACCCTGAAGGGTCTTATTCTCCAGTGTACAGTTATCATATGAAAAACTCTTATTATGATATCTATCAGCAATCGGAGAGCTCGTCTTCTTGGTGATGATCAAGATATCATAGTGAGATTTGATGTCAAATCTGAAAGCTTCATGAGTCCTATAAATTATCCAAAATACTCTCTTTTTCGATGGTGGTCACATGATATGATACCTTATGAGGGAAAACTAGCCTTACTTGCTCATAACTTTCCCTGTGGTAGTGGTGAATTATAGATTTTGAAAGATGCAATTAATTGGACACGAATGGACGCGTCAATGCTTGCCTCTCAGGTACCTTTTAAGAGTGAGTGGAGGATTTATAAGCAATTCAAGGGTATTACTGATGCTGGTGAGCTTATTTTTGCACCAACAAGTTTTGTTGACTCGTTTTATATTCTATATTTCGATCCAAGGAGAAACAGCATTAGAGAAGCCTTCTTTGAAGGATTTATGGGTGATGAATTTAGACGCAGTGATGATGGAGTTCCTAAGGACCGAACAAACTGTTTGGGTGTTTTCGCAAATCACATGGAAAGTCTCGTGTCTTTGTAATGCAGCGCCTTCTTTTGCTCAATGCTATTCAATTTTTTTTTTTTAAATTTCCCTTTCAATAAATTTTAGTTATTCTTATGAAACTATATAATTTGCTTGTCTTTTTACCTTTGTTGTGACTTTATTTGATCATTCCTTCATTTGATGTGCGTTTACTATTTACATTTCTTTTGCTAGAACTATTGCAAACAGAAGCCAATAAACACTTGTTCAACTTAGAAAGCTGTAGCTTTAAGCCTTTTACTTTACCATCAGCATCTTTGACGTATCCTCTAAAACATGTTGTCAAAGCAGCCCATAGCCGAAGCAAAAGTATCCCCAGCTTTGGCAGAATATAATTTTGGAACGATATATATAGTGTATTCACGAAACTCTTCCTTTCTTTTGGCATTGTTGGACTAATACGGATCTCAATGAACGAGAAATATAAGCCTCTTATACATAACTTAAGAATCATTTTATTGTGTGGAACCATTGAAGCAATTATGAAGTACCTTATTCTTGAATCAATATTCTAATACAAAAACGTAATAAGAAATAGAACAAGAGAAAAATCTAAGTAATGCATAGACATGAAGTAAATGAGTCACCAAAAAAGGTAACACTGAAGAATATCAAGGTACAAATATATGTTTTCAGAAAAGATCACAAAGAAAAGAGACTCTCGATGTGATTAAGGAAAATTTCCATAGTGAACGAGTGGGTTTTATGAAGTCCACAACTGCGTCTAAACTCATCCATATTTTTTTCAAAAAGGACTTCTCTAGTACTGTTTCTCCTCGGATCAAAATATAAAATAAAAAACGCGTCATGGAAAACATACGGAGCAAAAATAAACTCACCAGCATCTGTAGTACCCCTGAAACGTAAAGAGTCTCTCCATACCCTCTCACTTGGTAAATGATTAACAAATCGTTCACGTGTCCATTCATGTCCATGTGCATCTTTCAAACTATAGAGTGTAACACCATCATAATCACGAGTAACTAAGGCTAGGCTTCCCTCATAACGTGTCATATGAAGCTTACGAGAGCGAACCTCCGGAAATTTTATAATATTGAAGTTTTCAGATTTGACATCAAAGCTCATTATGATATCATGACCATAACCACGAAGACGAGCTCTATAATACAGAATCCCATTGAAGCATCGCCCATATCCTTCAGCTAGACAATGGCTAGGGCAGCGTCCTTTGGGTATTGTTCTCCATGATTCTCGAGCTCCCAATGTAATAACCCGTGGCTGATCCGAGTGGTTTTTAGATAATACACAAAGTACTTTGTGTTTACTCTCCAATGGATCATATCCTAAATAAGACGACCAACCTTTTCGATTCGACCTGTGTGTACCGGGGTGTGGTAAGGCTAAAAACCATCCCAAGGTTGGGTTCCAAATTCTTAACCCGGGTAATAAAATCAGTCCCTGGACGCTCTCGGATAGTGGAAAGTCACAATCTGTGTTTGTTATTTGATAACTGTAGAATGGAGAACAAGTCGACCCGTCAGGAATATGGCGTTGAGGAAACGAGAAAACATATTTTCCCAAACCTGACGATAAGGTCACCAAAAGAGTGGGTGACCGTGAAGTGGACCGAGACGTGAAGGAGTTGATAAAACTCGGAAGTGTGATAAAAGAAGACCACAGCTTAGAGACACATTGATATCTCATAATTGATTTCCAAGGAAGTCTTGAGAGTATCTCCAAGGTTAGATCAATAGGAATATGGTTTGGTTGTGATCTATCATCATCTTTGGATCTCTCTTGTCTTCTTCTCTTCTTTTTCTTCAATGGCTGATTGCTCAACAATAATTTCTTCTCAAAAATCCTCATTCTTTCTCCCAGTTATATTCTCCCTTGGACTAGGATCGTTTCTATTTAGGGTTCAATATATATAAACACCGCACATATTATATGGTAACATGAACGACACGATATGTAATTTACCGGCCAAAATATTACTAATTTATATATAAATATTTAAAAATTAAAGTTCTTATATGTAGCTTTTTCACGTTTACAAATATTTTTGAAGTAAATTTTACATATCATTTATTAACTTCCATTTTTTAATTTTTTTTCTTTCTGAAAAAATTACAATTTTCTTGTTATATATTTTTCTCAAACGACATAAAGAAAATATTTACAAAACTAAAAATAGAGATGATATATATAAATTTGATTTTACAAAAAATTAAAACTTCGTCAAAAATATATATACGGAATCAAATTACATAATATATAATAGAAAATTTTATAACCAAGATTTATAAAATACATTAGAAATTAAAACAAAATTTTCAATATAATTAACACTCAGTCAAATATAAAATAGAATTAAACTATATATAAGGAAGCAAATCTTAAATTTTGATTTAATATGTTATTAAAAGGTAAATTACAATTATATAATAATATAGTTTAGAATTTTTTTGAACACATGTCATAATTTTGAATTTTTATTGTCATATGTCCCAATCATGTTAACTAGTAATTATCAAGTTTTATAACCAAGATTTATAAAATACATAAGAAATTAAAATTAATTTTGCAATATAATTAACACTCAGTCAAAAATAAAAGAGAATTAAACTATTTATAAGGAAGCAAATCTTAACTTTTGGTTTAATATGTTGTTAAAAGGTAAATTAAAATTATATAATAATATAGTTTAGAATTTTTTTGAACACATGTCATACTTTTGAGTTTTATTGTCATATGTCCTAGTCATGCTAATTAATTAGTAATTATCAACTTTTATAACCAAGCTTTATATAATACGAAATACAATGTATAATAATGAGATATCTAGCTGTCTATGTTATTGTAAGATAGATATTAAGTGTATATATATATGGAACCCTGAAGGGAGTTTTTCCTGGAAGAAAATACAGTATGATGGTTTTCAAGAAGAAAGTATTGTTGAGGAATCGGCCATGGATGATAAACAAGAGAAGAAGACAAGCAGAGAGATCCAAAGATGATAATAGATCAGAACTACACCATATTCCTCTTGATCTAACTTTAGAGATACTCTCAAGACTTCCTCCAAAATCGATCTTGAGATATCGATGTGTCTCCAAACTGTGGTCTTCTTTTGTCACACTTCCAAGCTTTATCAAATTATTCTCGACTCAGTCCGCTGCACGGTCACCGCGTCTCCTGCTAACCTTTTTATCAGATGGTAAGCAATTAGTTGTCTCGTTTCCTCAAAACCCGAACCCTGACGGTTCTTATTCTCCGGTTTGTCAAATGAAAGCCTTCTCTTCTGCTCACTCTCGGCAATCAAAGAGCGTCCATGGTTTGTTTTTATTAAGCGGATTCCGCATTTGGAACCCAACCTTGCGTCGGGTATTCATCTTACCACGTCCCAAAGAGCACATCCCCATCTCGCTTTTTAGGTTTGAGTCTTATTTAGGTTATGATCCAATGGAGGGTAAACACAAAGTACTTTGCTTATATTATGGAAGTATGTATGTGCAGCCTCTGATTCTTACATTGGGAGGTCAAGAATCATGGAGAATAATAACCAACGGACGTTGCCCTATGCATTACCCAGCTGGAGGAGGAGGAGGTTGGGGATGCTTCAACGGAGTTCTATATTTTCAAGCCAAAGTTGATGGTCAACGTATAATAATGAGCTTTGATGTCAAATCTGAAAGCTTCAGTACCATAAAATATCCAGAGTATTCTCATTTTCGATGGTCGCCTTATATGATACCTTATGAGGGAAGGATAGCCTTTGTTACTGATACATTTGCCCATGGTACCGATGTTGAATTATATATTTTGAAAGATGCAAATGGACACGAATGGACGCATCAACACTTGCCTCATGTACCTTGCCAGAGCGAATGGAGGAGCAGTATGCAATTCACGGGTATTACTGATGCTGGTGAGCTTGTTTTTGCACCAAGAAGTTTTCTTGACTCGTTTTATATGATATATTTCGATCCGAAGAGAAACAGCACTAGAGAAGCCTTCTTTGAAGGATTTAGGGGTGGTGAAGCTGGACGCACAGAGTATGAACTATACTGTAGTGCTATTGTTTGCTTAAATCACATCGAGAGTGTCTTTTCTTTGTAACTAGGTGATTTTCCCGTGCTCATGCACGGGTATAAATATTCATAAAAGTAAAATTTTATAATAATTGACTGATATTTAATTTTAGTTTTGAATAAACATATGCATAATTTATATTAATAAATATTATATTATTTTAATTATACATAAGACTTTTGGATATATTATTGTATGTTTAATTAATTTTTGGATCAATAGTCGATTTGATTATCAATTTGGTATATTGGATAATATCTATTTTCGAATTCAGCTATAATAAAACTTTGATTAATTTTCTTATTTTCATTTCGGTTGGTTATTGTCTTAGATATGTATTTATTTTTAGATATGTAAATATATTATAGTTAAATTATGTATAACTTAATATATATTATGCTTAAATTGAAATAAATAATAAGCTGAAGTGTTTGATTCAAAATTAAATAAATGAATATAATGATAATATTTTGAAGTCTCATGCATATATATAAATTCTACAAAAGAATTAAATTGTAATTNTTGTCTTAGATATGTATTTATTTTTAGATATGTAAATATATTATAGTTAAATTATGTATAACTTAATATATATTATGCTTAAATTGAAATAAATAATAAGCTGAAGTGTTTGATTCAAAATTAAATAAATGAATATAATGATAATATTTTGAAGTCTCATGCATATATATAAATTCTACAAAAGAATTAAATTGTAATTAGTTAATATTTTCTTTTTCTTTTTAATATGATTTGAGTCAACCTCTACTTTATATGTATAAAATTAAATAGATTATTATTATTATTATTATTATTATAATAATAATAATAATTATTATTATAAAATTATATGTTCTTATTGTAGTTAGATGTTTAATTTTGTATATAAATTAGATTAGTCGAGTCATTCATTTTGTGAGTATATTGAATTAAATATATTTTTAAATTTAAAGTTGAAGTATAATTACTTTTAATTTTAGTTAAGTCAAATCAAATTAGTTTTATTTATCGCTTAAATATACATGTATTTTTATAATATTTATTTACTCTTTATTTTAGTTAAGTCAAATCAATTTTTTTTTATTTATCCCTTAAATATACATGTATTTTCATAATATTTATCAAATTATGTGTTGACTTCTAAAAATATTAGAATATAAAGTGTAACTGATAAATTTTTGAATGTTCATGAACATATATAATTTATTATTTTAAAAATATATTTTATGTTATTTAAAAATATATATTAATGGAGATATTATTATTTTGTGAACTTTCCTTTTTAATAAAGTCTTATTATATACATATATTTTCGTTTTTAAATTTGTTTTAAAAATTTAGAAATATTTCCTTTTTATTATATATGTTATTTGGAAAAAGTTAAAAAGGAAACTAAATAAAAAATAATAATCTTAAAATCTACCAATCCATTAAGGGTATCTATGTAATCAACCATCGTGAGAGTTAACGTGAGCGCGACACATAAGAAAGTGACTTCTCAAATAATATTATAGAGATACAGCGCCTTCATTAGCTCAACGCTCTTTAATGTTTTTTGTTTTCCCTTTTAGTGAAATTTTATTTTTATGACAAACCCTTTCAACGAAATTATTGCTTGTATATAAATATATAATACATGATGGCGTCTAAATCTCTTAGAAACAATAGCATGACTTGTTTGTTGATGATATGTAGAAGAGAATGTTGAACTTCTATCTGCTTGACCTTCATCCTCATGGCCACCTCCTTCTCGACTTGTCTCTCTGTTTTTGTAAAGTAAAATTAATAAAAATTATCTTTTATTTACTTTGAGAAAAATGATAACTTTTTAACTTAAAACCAAATTAATAAATGGTTATAATATTTTTTTATTATGAATTTCGTATTAATAAAGAATTATGTATATAATAGTAATCTTATTCTACTATAATAGAAGTCATGATGCATTTCATGTATGATTTTTTTATTTGGACTATTAATAGAAAACTAGGTGTTTTGCCCGCACATGCGAGCTTGATTATCTTGAAATCAATTTAAAAATATTTAAAATAAATGATTATTTGCATCCAAAACATTTGACCTAAAACATTAAATATTTTTACATGATAAAGTTATTCTCGTATTAGAAAAAAAAACTTTTTTTTCCTTCAAAACTTTGAAAAATCTAAAGTCTATTTCATTTCTTTTTAATTGATAAAAATATAAATATCTATCTTTCAATTTAAAAAATTGAATCGATAAATATACATTCAAAAATTGAAATTACAGAAAGAATAATATTAGTTTGAATAATAATACAATATATTTAAATTTATTTTTGTCAAACACGTATTTTTTTCTTTTTATTTTATTATTATTAATGTATGTTTAAGATTTAATAATATATTAAAATTAATCATTATATTATATTATTACATTCTTTTAATTTGAAATTAATTACATATTATGCTTTTTCAATTTTCTTTTTATTTTCAAGTATATACAATTAAAAATTTTACTTTATGAATATTTATTTATGTGTTAGTTTGGATAATAATACAATATATTTAAATTTATTTTTGTCAAACTCGTATTTTTTTTTCTTTTTAATGATTTTTATTTTATTATTATTAATGCATATTTAAGATTTAATTATATAAAAAAATAATCATTATATTATATTATATTTTTACATTCTTTTAATTTGAAAATGATTACGTATTATATTTTTTTCAATTTTATTTTTTCGATTATATACAATTAAAAATATAATTACGTTATATTTTTTCAATTTTGTTTTTTCAATTATATACAATTAATAATTTTAATTTATGAATATTTATTTATGTATTTTCTGTTTTTGAATTTTTTTATTAAAATATATTTTCCGGATAACAACACAATATATATAGGAATTATCTCTTTTTATTTTTAAATATATATTTAGATTATGGATAATTTTTATCATTATTATTGATTTAAATGATTTATCTAATCAATTAAAGTTTAAATTCGTTTTTATTTTTGACTCATTTATATATTATTTTCATTAAGGGTATAAACGATATTAACCACTCCAACTTTTAACGTGAGAGCTCCATTGCGAAAAATCACTTCGCAAATAATAGTATAGATTTTACTGAATGTATTCATTAAAGTTAGTAATAAAATATTTGTAACCACCTTAATCATAATATCTTTTGATATATCTTCATTTTAAATATAAATATATATTAAAATTACAAAAAATCTGTTGAAATATATTTTAATAAGATTTTAACTTTTAAAATTTAATGTATATATTACACTAATTTTGAATAGCAATGACTATAATTATAAATTAATATATATTTAGTTATCTTTTATAAAATGAAAAAATAAAAATTCTATCCTTTCTACTTATCCTTTATAAAATCACAATATATCATATTAAAAGAAAACTATTATAGTGAAATACATTTAGTAAAACTATACTAAATGGATAAACTAATTTATTTATTTCATAAATAGAAAATATTAATGTTAAAAATATAATAATACATTGGTAGAATGGGATGGCATTAATATAATACATGCATAAAATTAACATATAAACCGAACATGAGTGTACGAATGTTTTCCCAAATCACATGGAGAGTATCGGCTGTTTGTAATGCAGCGCCTTCATTCGCTCAGTGCTCTTCAATGTTTTGTTTTCAGTGACGTTTAATGTTTTCTTATGAAACTATATGTTTCGCTTATGTCTTTTTCACTTTTGTTGTGATTTTTGTTTGATTGTTCTTCAGTTGATGTGCCTTTAGAACTGTTGCATGTAATAGATGCTACCGACTAAAGCTCTTAGAAACAATGGCATGACTTGTTTGTTGATGATATTTAACTAACTCTCCAATCTTGGTTCAAGCATCTTAAAATATTTTGAAGATGATCCACACTGGATTCAATGTTATGTGGCTAAGGAAGAAACATGTGTTTAAAGAGAAACAAACATAAGACAATCATCAACCACAACCCTCTCTGTAATTAACAAGTTCAAGTAGCCTCATCTTACTTTATGAGTGAAAATCTAACATATCTTCCTTCAAAGTTCGGTTGGTTGCTCTCAACATGGATGAGACCTGGGCATCAACAGAACTGTTCCATCACATACTCATTTTAGTTCTCAAGCTAGGAATCACCATCACTGATGTAATGTCCTTGAAATAAGTAGTGCATGAAGATTGTGAAGTCTCTAATCTATCTTTTCTGCCCATGATAACTACATAACTACTGGAAGTTGGAGCTTCATCCACGATACGATATGTGACGGAACAAATGAAGCCGCTCATTTCGCCACAGAGATTACAGTTGCAACATCATCGATCATGGTTGGAGTCAATCTCGTCACCCTCTAGTTGCATCACTTATTTTATATTCTTTGTGGTGTATTTTAATGTTCAGTTTTGCTAAAATTGGATGTAGGGAGAAAGTTAAATGGAAGTTTTTTTTTTTAGTTAAATGGAAGTTAGTCGTTAGGAGACTTTGAAAGATCTAATCAAATAAGAAATTGATATTTTTGTATGTATTCTTATTGTAAAATATTCATTTCCTATTATATATAATTAATATTTTTAATCTCTTTTTCCAGCTCGGTTTATTATATAACGTGCAGCCTACTGTATTGTATTATATTATATACTAGTGTGATCTATCCGTACTGCGTACGGGAAAAAGAGAAGGATTAATTTATTATGTTACGACAGTGTGATTTTTAGCAAAAAATATTTACCGGTTCATGCTAATACTCAATGTATTTATATTTGTAGACAACAAATAAAATACTTAAGTTTTATTAGAATAATAGTAACATTCTCCTTTTTTTTGTAGACGAACAAAGTGATTAATTATCTTCTAAATTTCAGTTAGATTTTCAATTCACTTTACTTGGTTGCAAGGTTTGTGTTAGCTTTTCTTATGTTTCTCCTACAACATTTAGAGTTTTGGTTCCTTTGATCATTATGCTTAAATATACATAAACTGAATGTAAATAGTTTTTACTCTGAAATATTCTTTTTGTTTGGGATGCTAATATTTTTGCAAAATTTCAATTTCATCATAGCACTGAATGTAAAATATCAATTATGAATCTTATTTTTAAGATATTATCTTTTTTATCTTTGGCAGTTAATGAAGAAAAAACAAATATCAATCCAAGAGAAACAGTACAAAATAGGATACTTCCTTATGATAAAAAAAAATAGTAAAATATGATATTTATATTTGTAATTCCTTTTTGTTGATAGTCTTTTTGGGTGGTGTTAGATTCTCTGCTCTTTTCACATCTTTGAAATGCATATAAGTTAGTGGTTATACGTTAGTTTTGGGATACATTTTTAAGCATGCAAAGCTTTCAAAATAAGATGAAGATTTTCGAGGAGTAACAATGTGAGACAGAGAAAAACTTTGTTACATCCATTTGGGTTTCACCGTCTCGGATTTTTTAGGAAAATAAGTATAGCCTTGAGATTTTTTTTTTAAGTATAACCTTGAGTTTTTCGAAGAAAAATCTTGTACGTAGGTGAGATTTGATAAATAAAGGCCATGGTAGAAGTAGAGAAAGATTGAAATCCAAAGATACTAATCAGATACAAAATAAAAAATATAGAATATGAATACCAATCTGTCTCGCGAAGAAGCTTGCATGTCTCCATCGGATCTGTTGAGTAGAGAAAGAGAGAAAATCTGTTTTTTTTAGCAAGATACAGTTATATATAAACTAATATAGGTAGTTATTTAGAAATTGTTGGTGAATGGTGATCGTGGGAATTGGGAAAGAGGAACTGTGCCGAAGAAAATATTTTAATTTTGTCAAATAAACATTTAACCTTTTTAGTTTTCATTTTTCATTTGTTTTTTATCTAAAATTATTTTTATTTCTTAATTCATGTGTCAAATTCTATTTCGCTAGGCGACTTGCGCTTTAGTATATAAAGTATATGGAACCCTAAATATAACCAATACTAGTCGAAAGGGGGAGTATTACTGGAAGAAAGAATGAGGGTTTTCAAGAAGAAAGTATTGTTGAGGAATCGGCCATGGATGATAAACAAGAGAAGAAGACGAATGAGATCTTGCAGAGATGATATATGTCAGGTAGACAATATTCCTCTTGATCTAACCTTGGAGATACTCTCAAGGCTTCCTCCAAAATCGATCATGAGACTTCGATGTGTCTCGAAGCAGTGGTATTCTATTACCACTCTTCCTAGTTTTATCAACTCGTTCACGTCTCGATCACCTACTCTTATGGTGACCTTGTCATCAGAATCGGAAAAATATGTATTATTCTTTCCTACACACCAGATTTCTGACGGGTCCTTTTATTCTCCATTATATAGTTATGAAATAACAAACTTAAATTGGAAAGGTTTTCGATCCGCGAGCATCCAGGGATTGATTTTAACATCCGTATTCAAGATTTGGAACCCAACCCTGAGACGGTTTTTAGCCTTACCACATCCTCCTGGTAAACACAGCTCGAGTCGAGGTTGGAAGTCTTATTTAGGTTGGTCGTCTTATTTAGGATATGATCCATTGGAGAGTAAACACAAAGTACTTTGTGTATTATCTAAAAACCACTCGGATCAGCCTCGGGTTCTTACATTGGGAGGTCAAGAATCATGGAGAATAATACCCAAAGGGCGTTGCCCTGTGCATCGCCCAACTAGAGGATACGGGCGATGCTTCAATGGGATTCTGTATTATAGAGCTCGTCTTCTTGGTGAGGGTAATGATATCATAATGAGCTTTGATGTCAAATCTGAATACTTCAATATTATAAAATATCCGGAGGGTCGTTCTCGTCAGTTTCATATGATGCCTTATGAGAAAAGGGTAGCCTTAGTTACTAATCGTTGTAATGTTGTTAACCTTTATATTCTGAAAGATGCACATGGACACGAATGGACACGCATTGATCTTAATGTACCATGTGAGAGCAACTTGAGGCATTCTTTACATTTCAAGGGTATTACTGATGCTGGTGAGCTTATTTTTGCACCGTATAGTTTCGGTGAAGTGGGTTATATTCTTTGTTTCGATCCGAGGAAAAACAGTACTAGAAAATTTCTTTTTGAAAGAAATTTGGATGACTTTAGACGCCGTTGTGGACTTGATAACAAACATACGTTCGTCATGCAAGTATTCCCAAATCACATCGAGAGTCTCTTTTCTTTGTAGAGCACCACCACCTTCGGTTGCTCAATGCTCCTTTAGTGATTCTTTTATGTTTTTGTATTTTTATGAGAACACATATTCCCAAATCACATCGAGATTCTCTCGAAAAAATCTCCTCGGAATCACAGTATTCGTCGGAATATTCCGAGAACATTCCGATGGACAAAATTCCGAGGACATTCCGAGGAAGTTTTCGATGGAATCATTGGTCGGAATTCTCACGGAAATTTCCGAGGAAAGAAATTACTCGGAATTTTCCCATGAATCATTCCGTCGGAATATTCCGAGGACTTTTAACCCTCGGAAAATTTCGAGGAAATTTGTTCCTCGGAATAATCCGAGGAATTGTATTCCTGGAAATATACCTAGGAAATTCCGAGGAATGGTATCCCTCAGAATATTCCGAGGAATATCATTCCTCGGAATAGTCGTAATATTATATTTTTAAAAATAATATAACTTTTTTTAAAAAAAAATTAAAATTCGAAAATAAAATTAAAATTTTTTAAATTGAAAATTGAAATTCAAATAAAATACATAATATAGATAATGATAAAAAGTAATATTCAAAACATAAACAAAAAATAAAATTCAAAACAGAAACAAGAAATAAAAAGAACTACTCCTCGTCGTCGTCGTCGTCGAAGTTATGGTTTGGGAATTGCTTCAAGAACACCTCCATTATCCTCTCATTCTGCCTCCTTTCTTTGTTACTAGCAGCCTCTTGAGCCGCCATCTTCACCTCCAACATAGCGATGCGGTCATCCTTATCCTTCAGTTGATCTATCAGCATAGGATCAACTGGCACCTGGATGTAGAAGGAATCGGCTTGGATCGACGACCCAAACCGACTATACGTCCCTTCTTCTTTGGAATCGCCTGAAAAAGAAAATTGAAAATTATAATCATAGAAAAAAGATTATAAATCAAATAAATGAATTGAATATTTAGAAAATATCTTACCGATACAAGAAGCTCGTCGATTCGAACTTTGGAGAGGGCAGTCGATGCAGTGGATGTGGAGTCGAGATCGGCCTGGATCACCCGAGTCATCATCATCACCACCATATGAATCTGAATCTGGATCTTGGTGAAACTCTCCAATCTCTGGTTCATCTTCGACGTGAACGACGGCTTCGTCTCCAAAATCGGTAAAATTGATAACAAGATCAACTGCAGCTACATCTCCTGCTGCACTTAAGTTGCCGGATGTGTTTGGTTGGAGTGGGTCTTCCAGCTCAAAACTTCCCTGAACTCGGCCTCTCGGGTTGAGTGATGTAACAGTGACCCATGGATCATCTCTGTTCGTAACCTGGGGGTACTTGATATAACAAACCTGTAACATTTTAAATTTGTTAATTAATGAAGATGAAGCAAATATTGAAAATAATTGACATCTATATTTTTAACTACCTGATCGGCCATAGAAGCAAGAATGAAAGAATCGTAATATGGCAGCTTTCGCCTCGAATGTACTGATGTAACACCAAATGCATCTGTTCTAACACCTCGATCCGGAGTGTTGTCGTACCAGTCACAATAGAAAACAGTGCACCGCAATCCAACCATGCCCGGATACATGATTTCCAAAATCTCGCTTATGTTTCCGTAGTATACATC